ATTACCTGATTTGCATGAAAATTAGCCAATTTTTAGCTGTTCATTGACTGTTATCTACCACTGATATCTAAAGAGCCATTCATTAGATTTTGATGAAATTTGGTACATAGATGCTCTGGACTAATGCACAGATGTGATTAGTTTTGGGTAAAAATCCATGCATATAATTAACCTAATTTGCATAATGATTTGTCAATTTTCGGCTTTTCCACTGATATCTCAGGTACTAATCATCACATTTCAATGAAACTTACATAGATACATAGGACGATGAACAGACAGATATGTGAAATATTAATCACATAATTTGCATAATTAATCAATTTTCAGCTTTTGATATTTCAAGTACTATTACTTCATTACTTTTCAATGAAACTTGGTACAATCCAAAAACCTGATTAGTTTTGGATTAAAATCAGTGCATGTTAATCACCTAATTTGCATAATTAGCCAATTTTCAGCTTTCACCGATGTACTAATTATTCCATTTCAATGAAACTTGGTACATTGATGCTCCAGAACAATGCACAGACCCACTCAGTTTTGAATTAAAATCAGATCATATTAATTACCTAATTTGTATAATAAATCATAATTTTTGGTTGTTATCACATTTCAATAAAACTTCGTACATTGATGTTCTGTGACAGTACTTATCTTAAGGTAGAGATGCAGTTTACCTGACAGGTATTTTAATTAGTTAATTAGGAAACCAAGATGACCTCCCTTGTCCACAAAACTATATATTTTTGGAAAGCTTATTGTATGAATTTAAAAATTGTGTTAGTATTTTGAAGATAAACACATTGTCAAGCTATTTTAAAGTTCTGGGATGTGCACTAAAAAGAAGCCGAGATATTTGCTAATTTGCATAACAATTCACTCAGTAAGAAGTTTGCTAATGCTCATAATTAAAATGGCTGTTCCAAATTTAAATGTATTATCGTTTTGTTAAAAGTTAAATATAGTGTATATTATGGAGATCCCGTCATTTCTTTTTCACCATGTTTCTTTTTTATTATTTATGTACAGCCTTGCTAAATCTTGCTAAGCATTCAAAAGAGAGAATGTTTGCACCTGTTATCTATATTTTAAAATCGTTTTTTGAGTATGTTCCACTATTCACAATTCTAAAAAAATTAACAGTCTATAGCTAAGACTGTTTGGATAATAAAAAGCAAAAAAAAAAAAAAAATTCACTCCCAAGTGCCCACGAACCTGCATCTCTACCTTAATTCAATGAATACATATGTACTGTAACACAATGTGTTGATCAAATTAGTTTTAGGTTTATACACATATATAATAATTACTTAACTTATTGTAATGAAACTTTGTACATGTGCGCCCTGAAACAATATACAGACCTAAATCTATGCAAAAAATTGCTTAGTTTTTTTATAATAATTCATTTGGTTCATTGAGGTGATCTACAGACATGATTAGTTTAATATTGATAAACATTCATATGGATTATCTATTATTAGACCATTTCTGATATCTAAAAAAATCAGATTTAAATTGAATTCATCTCAGAGGTGCTCTGGAATAAATTGGATGAAAATCAAATGTATTTTTTGTATGTATTATAAATTTTGATAATGTGAATTTTTCATGTTGTGAATCTCAAATAGCAGACAAAAAATAGTTGCCAAGCTCCTCGTTTGAAAGCAAATTTTGAATTAATTTTAATGTGTCTCCAACACTCTCAGCACAGGGGAGTTCTTTCTAAGCTGAACAATTATTGGATGAATCAACACGAGCTACCCACATATATGCATAAATAAAACAATTGGATGAATGCATATTCATATTGAAACAAATTATGATAAAGGGAATAATATTATACAACAGAGGGCAAGGTTATCGGAGTTCAACTATGTTTGTCATTTGTAGAATAATGGAATTTGTGACGGACACCATTTCTTGCTAAAATACTACATGAATAACTGTTATCAAGTACAAATGTCTGAAACTCATTGTATCACACACTTACTGGACGAGAATATTGCACCTTCCATAACAGTTCCACCATTTTGTAGTTCATTCAAGTGACTTTGAATTTATCAAAAATGAACCGTATTTCTAGGTATAATAATAGACTTAGACTTGCATACAGTCTCTTGTTTAAAACAATAAAGAGACTGTATGCAAATCTGTAATATACTGTAAACACAATAATTATTCAGTGGTTTTTAATTTCGATATTTTTATAAAATAACAGAACTCACTGTTTCCCTACCAAGTTTGTGAACTTAAAACCTGGTGAAAATTGATCAAAACATCAATACAGTGAAAATAAATTATTTTACAATACGTCTCTCATTTGCACATCATCCTTTTTTGGCTTTTGGTATTAGCATTATCGAACAAGATACTATATATAAAGTGTATGATTGATTGGTTCTCTATTTGTACACATCCGAAAATAGAGATGTTATCGTAACGCCGTACCCCAAACAGTACTAGTAATTCAAATTTAAAATTAAGAATAGCTTGACAAGTTGTTCTGCGTTAGTTTATCGCCGGTAAACGTCTAAATGTTCACTACTCCGTATAGTTGTATTGACTCGCGTGTGCGAAGCACACAATGGGAGTCTTTGCAGTTACCCTGTCTGTATGTGTGTGTGTGCATGTGTGTGTGCATGTGTGTCTGTCCGTTCGTACCACTGATATCCACAGACATGATTAGTTTAATGTTGATAAACATGCGTATTGATTATCTATTATTAGCACATCTAAAAAAAAACAGGTTTAAATTGAATTCACCGGAGAGGTGCTCTGGAATAAATTAGACTAAAAACCATGGAATCAAATGTATTTTCTGTATGTATTATACATTTTGATAATGTGAATGATTTTTTTTTCATGTTATTCATCTCAAATGGCAGACAAAAATTAGTTGCCAAGCTTCTTGCTTGAAAGACAAATCATAAATTTTGTATTAATTTGAATATGTCTCCAATACTCTCAGCACACGGGAGTTCTTTCTAAGCTTTCTTTGATTCAAGCTAAAATTAACAGAATTTAGCGTGGCTACCCAGTCAAAATATAGCATGTTATTTCTTTTGTACAGCAGGTTGATTAATACTTTTTTGTTTGTAACAGACTGTAGTAGAGGTATAACTCGACGGCGCGAGGTATCAGTGATACGTGTTTTCATTCTAAGCAATTTTACAATTTATAACTTTATCGCTACCCTCACTACTGATGACTACATTCATCCCACAATCAATTTGTCTAAATACATTTTCCACGATGTAAATACGAAATGCTGGTGACCGGGCAAACAAGAGGGCGACTTGCTATTTTGAATGAAAATGATGTTATTTCTGAATGTGGAGCAGAGTTTCGCTGTGTGTGTTGTTGGATTTTCTTTTGGTGACACAGCCGTCAATGACAAGGCTTGATGTGAATAAAATATCGCAGAATATTATACCACCTAGCTCTATCATTCAAATTGATTCATGCATTTCTGAAAAATATTTTTTTCACTATTAACCTCTCTATGAACGACTTTATATTTACGTCTGCGCTTGCGCAGAGGTTATGATTGATATACACCTGTTTGTTGACCGCGGCTTTGCCTCTGTTGAAATTCTCACTTCGTGCTGACTGATTTGTATATCAGGGCCAGGGATAGCATTTTCATATTATTACCGAATAACGAATATATATGGGACCCCTCATAAGTGCACGTTCAGCGACCTGCTGCCGCTGACAGTATCATCACACGTTGTTGAGTTCACAAAATGTGGCTAAATTAGATTAAGTATGACTATCGGATCAATATTTAGCATTACCTCAGTAAATTAGAACAAAATGTGAACATGTTGAAAGCTCGAATGCTGGAAATTCTCTCCGAATGACTCCGACATATGTAACAATGTAAGACCTGCTTATCGCAATTGAGAGGGCCACCCACAGAACTCACATTGGATAGGGGGTTCTTTCACTGCTAGTATGGGGTAGACAAGACAATAGTACTGGAAATGAAATACACATACACCAAAATATCGAGTTAGAGCTCCTGGCTTTAATACCTCTCAAAATAATTACAAGACATAAAGCACAGAAAAATATAATGAATAAAGTCACTAAAATAGGGGATTGCTTAGGGAAGTGTGCATTGGTGATAACTCACAGTTCCAGGATGTATTAATGGACGACAGTCAATGGCTTCTGCAACACAACAACGAAGAAATACAGGAGTCTTGCTTGCAGAGGAACGCTGGTATTCTGGAGGGCACCTCTGAAAGCAGGAGATCGCAGAGCAGTTCATACAAGTCTCACAGAATGATGGTTGTAGCCTGTAATATCGTATCGTAGCAGAACACACTGGAAAGCAAGTTGAAGTGACAAACACCAAGTTGAAATGATCGACCCAAACTGTCTTTAGTCTGTCCAATTTATAGGCAGTGACGCCACCTGGGTTTCCACATAAGCCAATCAGAATGTGATCTTGCTTGGAGCTGTGTCACGTAGGCAACTCAGTAGAGCATAAACATCCTTTGTTATTCAAATAACACCACACCTGGTAGATTCCAATTCTCCCTCTAAAGTTGTAAACACCCTTTGTTATGTAAATTACAAGCACACCTGTTACAACCCACTGTCCTTCCAGAGTTGAAAACAAGTATGACCTGTCAATCACCGTTATGACAGTTATCACAATGCACAACGTTTCTTCCCATGATTCCATGCAAACTTCCATTTGCAGGGTTTGGGGGTAATATGACAAAAACATGAAATAAAGGATGCTGACACGATAAATGCAGTTAATGAAAACTACGACCCCTTTGGAAAAAATCGTACTTATTATAATAATTGGATTGCATAGTTTTGTTATGCCGACCGTCACTGATTATACCAAATGTGTCGACAATGTCGCATTTTTAGAAAACTAATTCTTCCATAAAAATGTTTTTATCGGTTACATTTGTTTGTTACAGCCTTGTATAAATCGACTGAAACTTTACAACGACGGAAATAGAAGGAAGATGACAGATTCTGATGATCACGCTCTACTCATCGCAGAAGGTAGTTTTATATCCATTATTGTTGTCAAAAACAATGGTCAATGTTACTCAATTTAATTGCTACACATCTGCGAATGCAATATATATCCATCAAATTGATCTAATGTACATTTTTAATATTATCGGTGATATCGTGATAATATTTAAATTATTAGACAAATCATTCGTGCAGTGTATATTCATATATATATGTTACTTTTATAGTATTGTACTTTTTCTAACAATTGCTTTAATTTTAATTAAGAAACACGTCCACTTAAGATCGACTATGTTCTACACTATAACACATTGGAATCAGTTTCCATGAATGAACCTCGTATGCTAGATAACTTGAATCCGGACCAGTGTACTGTTAATGAACTCACGGATATTATACGTGAAAAAGAGAACGAACATGACCTAGGCGTGCAGTTATATACTGCTGAAGGTGTTCCTCTTACTGGAGATATTTTTTTCAATAGATGTAAGTATATTGTAGGCTTGGACTCAATCAATATTCACTCAATTTCCACTAGCCCATTTTTGTAACTATAACTTTTCATAATAGTAAGGAGCAATATAGTTATTATGTTGTATATTAATAAAGGGACTCTGAGAAAAAGAAGAATCGAATCGGGGTCTATGTTGTTTGTTATTTTTCATTCCGGTGGATCAGAGAATATACGTATTCCAACTGATGAGAAACTGGACCATGCCATAGGATCTGCTGTTCTGAACGTGCATATAATGCTCGGCGGTGACCATGAGATTCGCGCGGAATTAGGAATTGACACTATTAGGGTATGTATAATTTGTTGGGTTTCATTATTAACAACGCACATATTGTATGGCGATGTGGCGAATGTGAATTATATATATAATTATATATATTTTCTTAACATTTGTTACAGACACTGAAACGAAAGATATATGATGCAACAGAGATTGAGACGAGTTGTCAAAAACTAAGGTTTATTACATCCTTTTTTTTTTCACGCAAGAACATAATGCTCTCGAATACAACATGTTCGATATTTTTAAAGAGCACCTGCCAGCATTTATGATTGGAATTCATATTAAAGAAAACACACATTGACATATATTATGTATATTATGTAGCATCCTAATAAAAAACCCTTTATAGCATATCGTTTTTTTATTCGTAAATAGAATGAAATAAAGTAAAATTGATTATTATATGCCTGTCACCGTACCGCCATAAGTTACAGCGTGCCGTAATTTTGTGGTGTTTTACGGGGTATTTTCATCCTACCAAATTAGGAAATGCGAATTCCAAATATGGAATGATCACGCGCGTAAGCGTCCTCTAATAATAAAAACAAACATGGCTGCCACCGGAGTTTTACCGGACTCCACACAAAGAAGTTCGTTGATTCTGTTCTAAACATTTTGAAATTCGGCATTGGTGTATCCTTGGAAGGAAAAGATGTATAATAATAATAATTTATTATTAATTACAGACTTGAGAGCATAGAGGACGGATCAATTCAAGAAGAATGGGAAATCGATAATACGCTAGAAGAGAACGGTATATGTGATAGTGATTCCATCGTTGTGGTTTTGGCGTCTGGTATATATAAAGAATATGGATCGAAAAATGCGAAATGTGGAGCAGACATAGAACCTTTCACACAACAAACTGAGACTGGATTGGCGGCTTTTTATTCAGTGCTATACGTGGTGGTGAGTCACACAAATTGGCATTTTTTCATTAAAAGAACCCCCTAACTCTCGGTTCACGTTCTACACAGTATGACAAGAGATGTAGATTTGTATTGGTTTGTTATTCCCTATGCATATATCTATGTTGGTTTGTTTACGCCACTGCGAAAACTGGCGTTTTGATGTGGAGCACATGTACAACTAGCACCTTCAGTTGTGTTTAGAAATTACATTAAATAACTAAAACCCGAGTAGAACTAAAGCCATACTGTCACGTGGTGTAGGTTGTTCAGTCGATTAAAATCTTCACAAATAATGAACATATGAAAAATCTCTGTATTATTAGGGCTGACCCCGGCATAGGAAAGGACTCAGTCTTGTATAATAAAGTATTATTTTTAACCCAGACTAACATTAATTCTTGTATGTATATATTACAACAACATTTATTCTTATCTCGTGTATGCAGGTCAATTATGTTGACGAAGAAGATGCAGATAATATTGTGGAGTTTGTGAGGCAGCTTTCAGGGTGTCCTCCGTTGGCAGCCGCTCTAGGAACTTACTTCCATCATAGAAATATGGTATATCCAGAAAAGGTTAGTAACCTAGTCCCTTGTTGGCGATCCGCCCCGCTAGGATTGCAATTCAAATCATTTGTGTGTGTGTGTGTGTGTGTGTGTGTGTGTGTGTGTGTGTGTGTGTGTGTGTGTGTGTGTGTGTGTGCGCACGTATGCGTAATTTTCTGTGTCTTCACGTATTAACTCTGCTGTGATTTATTTGGCTCGACCGATTTGTTTCAAATTTGGCAAGCATCACACACCTCCACTCTAGTGAGGTGGTAAAATCTGGAAAAAAAATGTTGGAGTAAAAACCTCGGACTTATCTCATTCTACTTAACTTGAGTGTAAGTTACTAATGTTGTTTTAATATTCTTTTCATACCGGGGAATTTGACCTCAATGTTGGGCCTTTTAACACTTCTGTGGTTTTTGGGGCGAATTTCGTTTATACTTGGCAGGCAGGTCACACCTGCATTCTCGAAAGGTGGACAAATCTACATTGCATGAGGCAAATTGGATGAACGCAGCCCGTAATTTGTTATAATGAACACAATGAAAACAAAATTATAAAGCCCTATCTGAGAGATATGCTGGACAACATCGTTGACCAATATATAAATAGTCGTGACAAATGCAGTGAATTTTGAAGGTATAAAACCAATCAAGGATATGAACTACTTACTCCGTCAATTTATTTCCTGGTTCTGTAGTTTATATAAACATGCCGCAAACTACGTCTACGCATTTAATATAAGTCACTCTCCTAGCATTTTTCACGACAGGAAAATCGCGTTTTACTAATACGAGATGAGAACAATTTCAGCTGTATTTGGAACTCGCTAGATGGCCACAGCGGCAGGAACATTTCAAAGAAAAATTACGTGAAAAGTACTATAACTGTCGACAGTCTGAGAGTGCATGGGGTAGGGTATCAATGTAGTGTAATAGACGCGGTCAATGAATAATTATTATGAGGCCAACTTGCGTGAATATAATAATAACAGCGAAAGACACGTGAAGTGACTTCTGAATGCTCTTTGCAAACTTCGTATATTGGGCTGCGGTTTTAATTATAAATTGGCGTTAGCTTCACGTTCATGTCCTACCATGGCTACACCCGAATACATATCGCCAATCAGCCTACTAGCTAGTTATTATATTGATTACGCTGCAACAAATAGAAGATGAAGCACATACAAATATATTGTACATTATTGCATTATATCATTTTATGTAATATATGCAAACCAGAACGATTAAATTACAAAAGTGCTACATTGCATTAGGTTACATAGTACAATAATTATTATAGTATAAATATCATACCAAATCGATATTGAAATTCATATTTTTTAAAGGGAAACTTCAATTTCAAGAACACAATATAACATACTCAACACAAATTATTGGACCTCAAGGCAAAAAAATGATTTTTTTTATATACGATTCTGCAAATTAGTATCTATTAAATTCAACAACGAATAACAATGAGTGAACCCGAACGCAGTGTTTTTAATTTTATTCCTTTAAATTCAAAGGTTAATACATTTCAAATAAAACGCAATGCTGATTATATTCTAGTAAGGTCCGGGACGGCGAGAGTGCAGATGGCAGGTAAGATAGGGTGGGATAACTGATGACGGAAATCGACGCGTGTTGAACCACCACCTACTGCCACCACCTAATAAAATATAATGCAAGGTTGGATCATTACATTAATGTATGCAGACGGGGGATTCACCTTATATGGTGTAATAACCTGAACTGGCAAAATTGAAACAATATTTTACATTAGAATATTAAGTCTCTGGGACCATGTGGTAATCAGTTTGTTAGTAAGCCAACTGATAAGAGTTGGCGGTGGTTGTTTGGAGTACGAACTTGGCAGAGAGGCAGTTTTTACCTTGTCCATATCATCAAAGATGGAAAGGAAAGGTACTAGTATATTAAGGGAACATTCCGTCCGGCGTTGTCGTTGTTGTTGTCGTCGTCGCTAATAATTGTTATTGTGTGCGCAATAACTTTAACTAATTCTATTCCAAACTTTATCAAACTTGGTCACCTTATTCATCAGTATATAGTCTTTCCTTAGTATGAACGACTGGTGATACACATTTTCTGTTATCTTGCATGTTTTATGAATCTATTCACGTGTCAGGGAAGGATTGAGACTGTAAACGGGGGTGGTGTGAACCGGAGATCTTTATTCGGAGTCGTGACATCAGATAAGTACAACAGTTGTATCTGGGCGTTGGCCCAACGGCCAATCCCAGAGAGCAAATAAGTGGACCAGGTCCGGTGTATCTCCTTGAGTCTATGTCTGTGTCTTACTAAGGCTAAAGTAACATGTCTTTTTATAAGCTAAATCACGTGATTGAACACCTTTTATGATAGGATAGTGATTCAATACACCCGCATAAGTTTCCCGAAATACATTGAATAAAATAATTGAATAAAAATACAAAAGTGATTTTAGCACCTCCACATCGTGGGTAAATTTGTCGCAGGTGATAATGTTTTACGAATTATACTGTTATAAGTGGTGTCATACACTGTCAGCTGCCCATATAATACATACTTGCTAAAAGCGACACGGATATTGTTTCAGAATTCACGCTTGTAGATAGCAATGTGAAGATACGCTTGCCATTGTTTCAATACAAGCGCCACCCGTGGGAATTCTGACCAAGTCCATGATGGGTGTCCGTACGAGCGATATGACACACGTCTAAATGCAGCAGTTTTTTCTGTTAATACTAAAATATCTGAATTCCTTTGAATAAAGCTGGAAATAATGTTCCTTAAAATAACTAAACAAATTAGGTACCAATGTTATTGTAAGATATTTACATCAATCAAGCACAATTCGGTAGACTTCTTTCCCACTGTTGTTTTAATCCCAAACTTGTTTGTATTCAAATTCAATTATGACAATGCATGTTCACATTAAAACAAACTATGATAAAAGGGAAGAATATTATATAACAAAGGGCAAGGTCACCAGAGTTCAACTATATTTTGAAAACGTCTCCTTAAACGCGCCAGGAGCGATTGGGTATTCAAAACGAGGATCTGCCTAGGGAGACTAGGAATCTCATTGTTCATAGACCTTCCACTCCAGTGATTTATTTATTACCCATGATTCACAAGGAGATCATCTCGGAGGCTCGGCAGGAGGTATTTTCGTAAGCTGTAATCAATTGTTTTTATTTTCGTAATAATGTAATTTAAATAAATAAGAAACGTAAATTCGTATTTGCTCTGTTAGAAGAGCATCTCCAATAGAAGCACATGTAAACCAATTCACTGAGGAGTGTGCGCCCTCTTTCGTGTTACATCTCCGTTTAAATATTGATTGCCTTGTTTAAATTCCGGTTGATGTATATATGGATCTGAAGTGGAGATATTTGCTCATATACGGACCCATAAGTATACCATATCGGAAAAATATTACCGATATGTATACTTATCTTGACCAGTAATAAGACCGATACTTATACCTAAAATGCAAAAAACGAGACCCATTTCAGGGGGCACGACCCCATTAGGCAATTCCTATGTATTGCCCCCCCCCACGGGGTTAGATACTCGGCTAACATTCATGTTCTGTCGTCTATTCGCACATGTTTGTGTCAAGGAAATCCATATGAGTTACAGCTGCCGATCCGTCATTCACTAATGCGATTATTTATTTTTTCTGACGTGATCTTGACCTTATTTGCGCAAAGCACGGCCAGTCATGTACTATCTAGATCGTCATTGCTCCGGCAATCTTAATATGCGGTTGTTTGTCGAAGCCCTGACCAGCAGGAATTAGTTGGGAAATATGGCCGACTGCTACGAACACAAACAATATAACTGCAAATTTTAAAAAGTGTGAAGTGTGAGAAGCGGACACTTTTGTGTTGACCTTTGTTAATTTGGATTCTCGTCATTAAATTCAAAATTCAATGTTACCACCACATTGAAAATTTGTCAGTTATTGACAGGGTGATATTATAGTGGGAGGGTCGTCACCTGCGCACGCGCGGGAATTGTGTCCCAAGCAACGATAACAACACACGCTAAAAACGCAAAGGCTCATGAGTAGACGCTTGTTTGTAAACAATGACACGCTATGGCGTATGCGCAGTTGACGACTCCCTCGCTTTAAGTGTAGATGAGCTGCGAGAAAGTGTCAGTTGCTCGCTCTAGTATCACATTTGTTTGCTATTAATTATCTGAATCTAAACACGAGCAACATATTCTATATATATTTTATAAATAAAAAATGCTATGCAACATTTACTCTTAAAAAAAACACATGTGGTATTCTTTTATAATTTTCTTCACTTTACTCATTTGAATCTTCAATAAACGATTTATTTACTCATTAGTCACATGACCATATGAAGGTTGCATCTAACGTAACATCGATTTTTCATTACTGTGGATTATGAGCTTTATATGGTTTAAAACAGTAATTCTATGAAAATAATTAGCATGAACTTTACTTACTGACAACCTCTACTAAAACTCTACATACCTCTACAAAACCTCTGCTTAATATAACTGGAAGCCACTACACATGTTTTGGTTCCACCTTCGTTTTTATTTTTTGCATTGTTTCTTTCATTTTAATCATATTTTGTCTACATTATATTTGTTTCAAATTTGGATTGCGAACGTCCGTTGTTCCGAACAATCTCCACTGATGATCTTGTTCGTGTGATCTCAAATAACCATAATTACATAATCAGATCTGATTTTAAACATATTACTTAACCGTATTTTATGTATTTCATGATATATTGATGACGGGTATAGTGCGACACCATTTTAAGCCAGTTCGACGTAAATAGTGATTGTGATTTGTCATTGGCGGAATGATATATGGAAATATCGATTGGAGTTATAATAATGCTTGCGTATTGATATCTTGCTATTTGAATTTGGTTTTCCATTGAGTTTAGAAAATAAACACAGTTGTTATGGATTACCAAATGTCTCGTCAATGATTTAACTCAAACAACCCATGGTTACGATGTAATAATAATACTAGCGAATATGTTCATTTCAGGGGTAAGTTTTGTTAGCGGCAACGATTAGAAGAATGAGTTATTTTCAGACTTTGAATTCTAGAAGTTAACGAAATGAATAAATAGTTTGCGTCATCTCCGATGATTACTATTTGTCGCGCGTATGCTTTTATTTTAGTCGTTCTATTCATGTATTCTAATTTTTTATCCTTACTCTATTCATATCCATCATTTAGAAAGGATACTTCGTCTTGTTATATTAAATAATTACTAATGGCGACGATTACCTACTTATATTTTCTATTTATTGTATTCTAGCAGCTTTCACCAAATAAAAAAAAAAACGATTGGATTTTTTAGCGAAATTTACTTTCCTATTTATAAAAGAAATGTTTCAAACACTTACATATTGAGAAAACATATTATTTTCAGATTATTATCTAGATTTGCATGATGAGCTTGTTTATTTAAGTGCAACTGTGTCTTTTCAGATATAAATGACAGCTGCGGCTCTAATTCCCATTACCGACAATGTCGACAACGATAAACTATACAATATATCTGTACTTGTATTACTAGGTTGCATTATTGGAAGGAATGTATTTCATTTTCCGAAAGATTCTGCCAAGAAGACACATCGGTGAATATTGAATATATATATTCCGCCTCTCGCCATCCGCCTCTCGCCATCCACAACAACCTTTTCAATACATCTACACATCCGCCATTCCCCTCAAATACACGTCCCTTACTTGAGGTGTTTACTTGCCGTACTTGAACCACGTTCATGAAAGTGGTCTAGACAATTAATGGTTCAATAATATCAGCAAACCAACCAACCATTCGAATGCTACATAAACATGTTTAAACTTCTATACGTATTTACCTTTCCGTATTCTAAATTACATTCATTAATTTGATACACTAATGAATACAGATGATCCACAATAAGAAATGAGTTCGAATAACGCAAATTCCTTTTGTGACCCTTTTTACCCAAACCATTGCTCTCTTCATCATGAAATGCATTTATTTCTTTGCGTTTGTCTACAGGATTTGGAATGGTTGCAAACACTGGGATAATTGAAAATGAACGTGTTTTTGAGTATTCACCTGCATGCTGGGCATACATACTTGAAAATTCGAAGGTAATGAAGTTTCAAATCTGTATTATGTGCACCCCGAAACAAAGAATATTGCAAGATGAGATATTTGTAAAAATTATAAAAATCCTTGCAGAACTATGAGGCTGATGTTGACGACTTTAAGTATGTGGATTTGGTTTGCCATCTAACATATGAAAGACTTGCTGAACCAGTGAAAATAGTTGGGCGTGAAGGGCAGGAGTATACATGTGAAAGGCGGTTGGCGAGGAAAAAAATCGAAGGTAAATTACTTTATTACCTTTGATGTCATAAACAAATAACATAATAGACCAAACAATCGAAAGTGACATACAAGTTCTAGAACACAAACACAAACACAATACAACTACAACCAAATGACATTGATTACAAAACATTGCCAAACTAGCTGCTTAACTATGTTGATATTTAAATAGATACTTCGGCAATCTTATTTGAATATGTTCATTTTCTGATGATAAGTCTCTATTTTAGTGAATATTTTGTGAAACAGAAATGCCATTTTCAACGCCTTTTTAAAAACTGCCTGTTCAATTGCATTGATGTTTGAGGTGGGTTTTTATGATATTCATTTTGTAAACATATTTCATTTTTTTATTTGTAACAATTGTATTTCGACCACTAGCTCGATAAAAAAATAAACGTGTAACAAATATGTAATTATAAAACAATGGGGGTATAGGAAGACCAAATGTTGATTCAAAGAATTAAGTAACGAGCTCACAAGTAAACAGTACTATAGCTTACTATATTGTTTTGTATAGGATAGATGTAAATCGTTAATTTTGCATATTTTAAATGCAGCATGAAAATGAAACATATAGAAAAAATGTACATTTTACTTCATGGGCGTTTAACATTGAGCCTGGGATTTTATTTATGTATTTGGCAGATTTATGTGCCATTCATTTAATAACAGTCGCTTTATTTACGTACCATGTTTAATTATGTGAAATAGATCGTCTATTTCTAATCGTTCAACAAAATACTGATTTATAAATAAACTTGAAATATTGAACGTGTATTTATAGATTGTGAGCTGGTTGTGGGCGTTTTATTCGACCCGTCCTTAGCAGATGCTCTAATCCCGGATACTTCCCTGGAACGATTGTTGATGTGCCTGCCATACTCAAGAAAAAGCTGTTATATTTGGAAGATTCCACCAAAATATAAACCAGAGTAAGCAGAAAAAAAATTACAATGGGCTGTGACATTTCAAACAGGATTTTGGCAGCAAATTGAATTTTGTAAACTGCATTACATGTTTATTCCAATTTTGTTGTATGTTGATTAGATGTATTAATATCAAAACTGAGAGTGTAGATGTATTGGAAGCACGCATACCTGAGTATGAGTTTTTGATGGTCTATCCACCATTACGATTGAAGGACACAGATGTATTACGGCCCTGTCTGTCTATGAATGAGAAAGGTATGATTAGCAACTCGTATAATCCCCAAGTGCCAGTTAATTTGAATTCCATATACATTGAAATATGCTGTACTTGTCTAACATCTACCACCAACCTAGATATTCAATATAATAGCATATATGCCTTATATTATGGTTTCAGGTCTTTTGGTTGCATACACTGCTACATGTAAAGCATCTGGACCAGTTCAAGTGATTATTCACAATCCAATAGAAATGAGAAGTGAAAATGTATTCCCAGATGATTTAGCATATAGGTAATAAAACATACTCTCCAAGTGCATATATATATATATTATGTAAAACAATTTATATAATTTATATTATATCTTTTATCTTGTATCAAAGGTTAAAAGATTACCAATTTTCTCAAACGAAATGTTCTCTTGTTAAGTCTAAAGATGGACAGTTTAGCAGAAATCCTACAGAAGCTATTGTTGTAAGTAAACAAATTAGTTTCATAATTTTTTTTTTCAAAGATATACTTCTTTGAAAATATTAATCTCAATTCATTAGAATGCATTGACAACACGTTTTATTCCATACACATCCAATCAAACTAATTACTTTGTTTTGAACTAGACAGCTGAGCATCATTTAGTGTAACGGGTCTGGATTGATGCTTGGCAGTTTTGATGACTTTTGCAAATTCACTTGCATTCTTTAACTACGAAATACGGAACGCAGGAAAAGTGTCCAAAATAAGCAATGCCAATCTGTATTCCCAACAATAATAAGACAGTACGTACACTTCAGAAATATTTTCAGTAAAATACAACTTGATGAATGTTGAGTGTGTATAACCCACGATGAGAGAGCTCTTAGTAAAGTAGTTACTGACGAAAAATGTCTGCTTACAACTTTTCGAAGGAGGATTAGGATTATAATACTATCCTATTTTACTTAAAATAAATAAACATTAAAGCATGGAAAGTGGTTAGAGGAATACCTATGCAGAATTCGATTTGCAAGTACTTAATCCATTTTAACATCTTGGCTAATATTGACATTCGATGTTTATTCTATTGATTTAGCACTTGTGCTAACTGATAACAGACATTCATAACATGCACAGAATGGCCGAACCGCGAACGTTTAATACAGAATTAAAAAAGTGTTTTAAGCAGAAATGTCCATATGAACACTCTTGATATTCCAAGTGTGTACTTATAAACATGACCGTTGTCGGTCACACTTTTTACCATATTTATTCTATATTGTCATTTTAATTACCAAAATACAACAATTCATTTTGGGCAGCATTCATATTTTTAATTCAAATCTATGCTCACATTAAGTTAAATATCTTGTATTTATTGTTTTAATTATGCCCTTGTTTATGTTATGTAGGTGTTATTTGATATCAGTGGATCTATGGACAGTCGGTGTTTGAAGTATGTAATTTACAAAAAAATTGCAATTATATTTCTAACTGTATCGTGTACATATTAAGACAATTAAGTATTATTATTAATTGAGTATTAAGTAATCGTACTAAATCACCCGTACTAAATAGTTTTCAATAAACACAACTTTGAATAATAATTGTGTAAGCTTTAGCGTTGTATTATGTTTGTGTTACAGTGGCTCAATGACACAGCTTGATGCAATTAAACAGTTCTTCTGTGCATTTGCGGACAGAAGTATGGCATATAACTTTAAACATGTTATTGGCCTGACTACTTTCAACAATACAGTGCACGTTATGGATACGTGTACTGAGGCTTTTGAAAGTTTCAAGGTGAGTCGCATCCTAGTTAATTTGGTATAGTTTTGTTGAAAGAAGTCCGAAATGGTGACAAGCAATTTAGGTTCCCGTGCGTGCGTGCGTGCCGGTGCATTTGTTCGGAGTCATTTCTCGGACATATCTTGATCAGTTTAGTTATATGTATCACAAAATCACAGATTCACGTAAAGTGATTTTGGGATTTAATATTATTGACCACGTGGGGCCATTTTGATGCTGAAATATAATGAAAATAATATTTTGAACGTGTCATCAAACAATTTTGGCTATTGATGTCTATATTAAAAATGAACGACTGGTGGTCATTTTGTTTTTCTCGGTTTTGTATACCTGTAACCGTATCTATGATGACTTTTGACCGAATAGTTGATAATCGAATTCTCGGAATTTCAGTTATTTTGCTAGTTTACTGCGCCCTCGTTTAGCGTATTAAGTCTGCAAAATTGCATTTTAGCAATATTAATCAATATTGTCCTTAAATATTTTTTGTGAAAATGTGATTACACTATTTTTTCCTTGAGTACGTTCTGCCCTCTCCACAATGATACATCATAGTAAACACGTTACAAATATAGTTGAAAAAACAGACCTAGACTGTCATTTTTAATTGTTTAAATGCCTAACTAGCTGCAGGAGAAATTCTAGTATAGGATATTATTTACTTACCCCAGCTGTCTCCGTTTGTTTTATCCGCTTAGTTTGGATTAAAGTAAACAGAACATCTGGGATATTATTTAATAAAAGCTCTTGTTATCGTTTTCACAAAAATGCATGTTTATAGATATAAATAATATAGTTATAAATAATAACCACGACATACCCGTACCATTTGATGTGTTTATGAATAAACATATCTCAACAATGGTTTTTACAATCAGTATATATGAGAACATTTCATAAAAAGAAAGTAGGTTCACATCACCATTAACAAGTCGAGCATTAACAGTGTCGCTCATCGTATTTTTATCATACCTATTTATTCTTTGGTTGATAATTTAAACTGATTTGAACTAGCTAACCAGCAGTTGTATTGTTTTGGACATGCTACTCAGACGCTACTTCCCTGATATGCACGGATTGATTACATAACAATGCTACCTATACATCAGTGATTCGAAATAACCAATAGACACACATTGTCATTGTAGTTTCACAGCAGGCATTACACAACTATATATCGTATACAGTAATGTTAAAAAATCAATATAGCCATTCATATTACACTTGTCACCTTTAGCTAAACCAATTTTGATTCTCGATTTGGCATCAAATTGTTAGGGTGTTTTGAATGTTTAGTAATCGAGATTTGAAGAAATATTTGTATTTAGTAAATGAAGATCAATTGTGATTACAAGTTTTCCTCTTAGCATGCTATGTGCGATTCTGTACATTAAAAATACGTGCCGGATTGTAGTCAGTTACATGGTTGCGATTATATATCTTTGAATAATTTATTTGTTTTATCTTACTAGAATGAAGTGGCATACTTGCACAGTGGAGGTGGAACTGCCATGTATGATGCTATTAATAATGCTTTGTCGCAACTGGAAGTAATAAGTAAAAAGTATCCAGCATGCAAAAAGTAAACATCATTGTATACAAAATAAGATTTTTAAACATACACATCTCCCATGATAATTTCAATAAAAAGACTTCATATTGCTAGGGCGTTTCTTATTATTTATGAAATGTTGAGTAATGTTGAGTGCGTTGTTATATTTGTTGAGCCTTTAAATTAATCATACAAGAAACGTTTAATAACCTGATATTGAAGAATCACCTCCTCATTCTTTCGTAGGAGAATATTGTGCCTCACTGATGGATGTGACTGCTCATCAAGAACAAGCATTCTTACAACAGCAAATGCTTTGCAGGTAAATGTAATGTTTTGTACTGCGAGTCTTACTATCTGTGAACACTGTAATTCCAAAAAAATCAAAAAAATAAAACCTCTTTATTCACAGGCATCTGATGTGTGCCTTGACTCAGTCTTGGTAGGGAGCAACAACAAACGTTTGCAATGTCTTTCCAAAATTTCAGGTACGACTTTTGACTCCTATGTGTGTAGCATAAATATATTCGGGATTGGTCTGTGTGTGTTTATTTGTATGCTGCTGCTTCTTTTCTTTGTTGCATTTTTTTAGTTCCAATGAGCTGTTCATATTACTGATTGTCCGTCGTCGTCGTCCGTCGTCGTCGTTGTCAACTTTACAATTTCAACTTCTTCTAAACCGCAAGTCAGAATGTTTTCAAATTTGATATGCAAGTACACAATGTACCTTGAAAGGTTCTTTCTCAGATTTGTTCATTGCATGTCAAAATCTCAAATTCTCTATTTTTGGTGAATATTTTTGTCATTTTTGGTAAAAAGTGATATTGTCGACTTCTAAGCCCGATTACTTTGATATTACATATAGGTACTATATGTGGACCTCTCTCAGATTTATTCATTTCGTGATGATATCTTCAATTCTTCAATTTTAATGAATATTTTTGTAATTTTTGGTAAAAAGTGATATATCTGACTTTTTGTGAAAAAACGGCAAGACCGATTGCTTTGATATTACATATATATTCTAGGTAGGTACTACATGTGGACCTCTCTCAGATTTGTTCATTTCGTGATAGTATCTTTGATTCTCTAATTTTGATGAATATTTTTGTCATTATTGATAAAAAGTGATATTTTCATCTTATTCTTAAAAACCACAAGTCTGATGGCTTTGATACTATACATAATGTTCATTTTTTAATAATATCTTCAGTACTTAATTGAAATGTGCATTGCTAACAGCGGAGCTATCTCAGCCGACAGGCTGCTTGTTTAAATTAAACTTCAAATAAAACTCTATTTTTACATCAATATAAATCGATTGAAACTGCACACTACCCGTATAGCTGATTTTTTTATAATTATTTGTCATAAATCTATACATGTTAACAAAATAATTTTCATATTAATTATCATTTTCGATTAGACTCTCTTGAACACCTGAAATATGTATTTACCGTACTGTAGGTGGATGCTGCTTTTTTCCCGAAACAGAGAAAGATGGACTGAAACTATTCGAAATGGAAACAGTTTTGTCCCTCAGTGCTAGAAAAGATATCACGAGAAAATATAGCGTGACAACACAGGTATGAGTAATTATCACTCAAGAAAATTTGTGGAAATGTTAGTATATTTGGCTGTGATACCTTTCGACTATTATATTTAATGATTTTTTGGTCAATTATTTTGCAATTTGTGCAATCTGTATACTCATTTATTCTGCCGAAATGTTATTACTAACATGTTATCTAAATTGTACAGTGATACATGAATTAATAAACTGAAGCGTGATTCTGTTTTTAACAAACTTTAACACTTCATAAAGTTACTATCATTATATTATTACAGAATGACATAGATAATTACGAGAGATATACCTACTTCGAGTATGATAAACAGCCAGCTTATTGCGTACCCGGCGATCTTAACGAGCGAGTGTCATCAACTCATACGTAAGTAATGTGCTGGATGTTTTGCATTGTGATTTGATTATTTGTGTTATATTATAACTTAAACTTTATTGCCATACTAGGCAATAATAACTTTGCGTTGTTTATATTTATCTTTTTGTAGAATTCTAAACAAAGTCGCCTGTGACCTAAATCAAGGTGGCCTGTCTGCTGATAAGTCAACTGGTAGACTGAAGAGGATACTTCGTGAAATATCGGCGTACCATAAACAGCCACATCCACACGTGCACATCTTCCCGTGTGAAATTAAGTCAGTATATCATGCCTATCTATCCATCTGTCTGTTATCCGTTTGTTCACCCTAAACAAAAAATCTTGCTGAAAGCATTTTTATGTAAAATACAATGTTATGATTAATTTTGAAAATATGCAGATTATTCGTTATTTCTTCTTATCATCCAAGTGTTGCACTGTGGCGTATACTACTTGTTGGACCATTGGATACTCCATATGAAGGCGGTGTGTTCTCACTATATGTTGAATTTCCAGAAAACTATCCATTAGCACCACCTAAAGTTAGGTTTCTTACTCCCGTATCCTTTGATATAGTTTAAAAATAATAATCGTATGGTACTGTATGTCGGTCCATCCCAGATTCGATAGTTCTTTTTGTGTTTACATATCACTATATATATATATTTATTACAAAAGCAGCTGTTATACGTCATGTCCTATAGTTTTGGTTACGGCATTGTGTTAAATTCATACCAATCATGATCTTTTGACCCTGTGTTTCTTTTCACTGCATAAATAGGGGAACTTTAAATCTAAAAATAATATTCTTTTCTCTGCATTTTCAACATGTATATTTACAGCGAAACTAGTTAGAATGGAGTCCGCGAAAGGACGTCTTGTTTACTTTGGGACGTTCTGTGGCGATTCCATTCTCTAATGTAAATTTGAATTCACTTAGTACTTAAATATTTACTTTCGACAGTAATTCCCTCATGATCAAATATTATACGTACTCCAGAACAACAACAACAACAACGAGTATGCGTCGTGTGCATTTTGCTGTAGCAGATTGCGGCCGCCAGACTTACGCTCGTCCCTTAAATCCGTGCTGTGCAGTTGCACTTATGATAACAAGTTTATTTGCGGGTAATATCGGTAATCAATATTTATATTTTTCCGGCGTCGTTGTACATTGCCAGTATTGTGCGACAGCGTATTTATTTATTTCATTAAGTTTGTCGTGGAATATTATTCATTGGACCCCGATATGTCTGTAAGCCAGGTATTTCAAGTCAGTCGAATACAATGTTACCATATATTTGTTCATCATTTTAAATACATCCTTGACTACCCAGATATACCATTGTAACATTAATGCTGCTGGTCGTATATGTCATAGTATATTTGATAGAGACTATACATCCCGCACAACATTCAGTAAAATTATGTTATGCGTCTTTGGGTTGCTGATCACCCCGGAACCCGACGATCCATTGGACAGGCAAGTTATCTAAATATGTAATGTTTTTTTGCCGTTTTCGGGATGTAAAAACCTTAAATAATTTACATGGTTTAGTGAAGTGTTTAGGTTCAGAAAATAAATGTATTTTGGGATATTTCACTATATTTTGTTTGTAGCATTTAGTGTTTGAAGTATATGTGCCGTATACCAAATGCAACCATTACGGTATTCTGGGTCAGAATTTTATAGCAATCAGCCAAACATTGCCGAGCATTTATGTTGAATCGAATTTTCAGCAGCTTAGATAATCAGCAGATTCATTGAATCGCATGGGAAACGGACGTCTCTCACCAAATCGGGGTATTTGTTCGATGAAGACTAATTTTTCAATTTGTACTGTCCCTTTCTTTCTAAATTTATAATTTTTATGCTAGTTGTGTTGAACGTGTACTATAAGGCAAGATTCCAAATAGGGTTGCATGTTAGAACTTTATTTAGGTATTCCAGACAAAGAATACATATTCATATTAGTGTGAAGAAATGGTTGGTTGTCTTACCATTTTCTCCAGCCTCCCCAATATAAAACCCAATACTCTGTACAATCAACTGGATCTTGAGATGTATTTTTCCTCTATGGTGAACATATATTTCACATAAAAACAATTGTCATCAATGCAAAACAAATATTAAATACCTAATAATAATAATAAATATTAATAATAAATGTCAAAATAATACAGCATAATGATGTAAAAACATATGATGAAACTTTGCATTACACAATTATTACACAATTTCACACTTTATTTTGTTATGACTTTCATGTTTTATTTCTTCTGTTATTTCAGTATCACAGCTGAAGAATATATTACAAACCAAACAACATATTATCGTAAAGCCAAAGAATATACTAAAACACATGCAAGTAAATCTCTACAGCATCACAAGCAGGTAATTTATTCTTCTTCCATTTATACCCGCTCCAACTTGTATACTTTCCCTATACTTGGTTGATGAGTTACGCTGACCATATACTTATCACTATACACCCATATATTTTAAATAAATATACTGAATACTTATTTAGTGTATTTGTTAACGTTTCTACAAACTTTTGTATATGTGTTTAAAGTAGTGGTCGTCTACAGATGGATACAAGTATATGTACGATCGGCAGATAAATACAGATAGCAGTGTCCTGACACTACGGTAGTAAATAAACGCTGCTCGTACCGATAAATATGATATATAATAGATAATATTTGGTAATCGTTGTTCTAAGTAATTTTAAAAAATAACGGCTATTTATCGATAGATACCTGGTTCACACAGATTAGAAATACACTGTTGTAGGGACTGTGAGAACATCAGTGTTCGCATTGGCTTAACAACGGTGTATTACGCCGGCCTAATTTTATATTAGGGCTGTGTAGCACGCCCTCTGTAGTTTTATCCGTGTTTGAACATAATTGTACCCTACAGTTATGATTGTCAATTACTTCCTTGAATTTTGACTTCAAAGATTTTACTTTTCGATGGCACTGTTCTGCGGGTCTTTTTGTGCAATAATCCTGTAAACCTGGCTATCGCGGGAGGCTGCGTGTATCAATCTAAAAATACTCTTGCCAAATAGAAATCAGTAGCAATTATTTCCGAGACTACTCGTTCCACTAACCAAAATGGTACGTGTATCACTCGTCGTCATGTTGTTGCTATGGACTTAGACACGAATTCCCAATAGAGGGTGTTTGTGTCAGTGTTTATGCCGATGTGCGTGTTCACAGCGCGGACTGTCAAACAGTTTACGCCGGTGTCATGAATTTGTTTTCGCGTATCTGTTGTCCGACTTATTTAGCTGATTATTAGTGAATGGCTGTGTTAGATCTGTCATCATTTAGGCTCATGCGGGGTCCTGGACGGAACTTGACTCAGTGATTTGGAACTAATTACGATATAACCGTTGCCATCCGGGCCGCTATTTCTGACAGTTGGTATTCTCAGTTAGTAATATAGTGAACGATTAATCAAAAGATATGACGTGTCCAGTACTTAGTTTGATTGGCTATGTGTAAGTTGAATGTGTGAAGGCCACGCCTTAGAGTCATTTAACTGCTTTGTAATTGGTTAAGGTTTTGAAAGTGAATAAAGTTTTTTTTTTAGTTGGTCTTGGCGAGAACACCATGAGAGACGCAGTCTTGGGTCAGCCTTGCGATAGTCTTGGGGACTTTTCCCCAGGGCGCTGTGTCTTATAGAGCACTCGACTGACCGACTAAAGACGAGAGTTGAAAACGTATTTCGTTGTGTGTGTCTATTTGACTGTAAGGTTTAAGTGACTTTCCCGATCCCGTACCTCGAGCAGACGAGATATAGAGACCAGACGAAAATTTCCTCTGACACGTATTGGATAACCCCAGAGGAGAAGATTTTCCCCGTGATACCGGTGTAAAATCCGCCATTTTTACACCGGCGTAAACTGGTCACACAGTAAAAATAACTCCGTCCGGTGCTACAACGGCGTAAATGTTACGTGTGAACCAGATATAAGTAGATGTAAATGGTTAAATGTGTAGGTAGAACGTAAGAGCATGCACAAAAACTATGAAATAGAATTACTAAAAGATTACACAATAGAACATGTATACGCGCATTAGGTGGTAATCTCAAAGAATGAGTTTTTTTTAATTCTGTATATACATACAATTAGTGTCACGTAGATTTTTAAAATTGTCATCAAAATAAAGATGTTGGCGTGTCAATGAGTAAGTACGATCATTTTCACACTTATACCTAATAGAATACATAATTTTACAATCGTTAAATCTTTATAGAATGTATATGTATTGTATTCATTTACACAGGCATTACTAGGCAACACCCCTGCAGATTCAGAGCCTCCACCACCGGAGCTAGTGTGTCCACTTACAGGGGAGATGTTCGTTGACCCAGTGCGAACACCTAGTGGAAAAGTGTATGAGCGGCATGCCTTGGAATCACACTTATCATTAAGAAAGGAAGACCCTTTGACTCGTGAACATCTGAGAAGGGACCAACTTAAAGAAAAGAATGATATCAAGAAACTTGTCTTCGAATTTCGTAGCAGTAGAATTAAAGCTGCTGCTTGGTGGCAGGATAAATAAATATGTGGTGGATATGTGTGATTTCCCATTTTGGACATTTATGCCATTAGGTGCTATTTCAACGTTAAATTTGCACACACAATTTAAACTCACAATTGATGTGGAATTATATATATTATTGTACTGCGAATTATGGCATTATGTTGTGAGAACTTTAACACTCCTGCTTATTTTTTTTATAAATCATGGAGCCTAGAAACCTTCGAGACAGGGCAAGGAATAGAATAATTCAAAATCTATGTCATTACTTATACTAGTATGTCATATACAAAAATATTATAATGATTTAATCAACAGTATGCTAAGCGTATATTGTTTAGAAGATAACATATCGCTTGGAAAAAATAGTATATTTGAGGTATATACTCACTTCACATGGTCATTAGTGTCATGTCTGCGACGTTAACAACCTACAAGTATTGTATAAGACGTTATATTTTACTTACTTCGGTATTTTGTATTTGATTTTTTTTTCTAAATGACTCTCTTACGTTTTAACTGCTCGTCGTTCTGATCACTGAATTAGTAAATTAATGATCACCAATAAGGAATTTTATTTTAAATATGGATATGTTTATATTTTTTGACATCAGATGTTCAAACATTACTACTTAAACTTGACGAGGTTACTTTAGAGTATTTCGATTTATTCATTTGTATGACAACATTTCCGTTTTAAATTCTTAGGATGTTTTCATCTAGTGTCTAACCACTAGCCAAAAATAGTAAAGCACTTAATATTCATGTTAAAAAATATTTACAAGCCAATGCCACCGAGGCTCGTGTTTAACAAAGCGATTCACATTAATAATACCCAAATTTAGATAAGAACTCCAGCAATTGCCCCCACAACATAGAATGAATAATTTGCGAATTTATTCAAGGTAGAACGAGTTTGATTGTACTACGAATAGAAGGAGACTGGTGCTGAAAAAAACTACATAGGGGTGTAAAGTAAGAAATAGTTATACGGGAAGTCCGTTTATCATGTATTTGAATATAATATATAATTGTACTGAATTAAGTAAAGTTAATGATGTATTTGTTACTGTATCGATTCGGTAGGTAACTGTATATCATATCAGGTTTGATTTTATAATATTGGAACACTTTCATTGTATTGCAACATATGCGTTACTGTGTGTTACTGAACACGTGCTTTGTCGCGATATAAATACCTTTGAGAGTTACGAGTTTTAATGTTTTGCGACAAGACTGCACTTTTACTTGTTCATTGTATACAATTATTGTAAAGTTTAATATTAAATATATGAAAAACGCTTTCGCGTCTTCGTGTGCCTTGGCGGTCATCTGATGGCTAGCTATTTCTGATAATTTTCGCCATTATATCGATCGATGTTTGTGACGGAATGTTGGTCACAAAGTTATTTCCGTATTTTTCACGCTTTGATATTTATGGTATATAGCACACATGTATAAGTACGTCCTTGTTATTTCATTTTCTTTCATGTTTAGTATCGTAACAATACTACTGAGGCGACATACAACTTGGTTAGCAACTGTTCAGAAACCCCAAATGCGTGGCATAACCTTTGACGTCACGACTGTTTACAAGTTATACTTTACGACAGTGTATCTAGTAAAAACTATTTACCTAGCCTCTATTATTTGAACCATGACTTCTGTTGCCGTAACTAACACTTTTGTATGTCAATTGTGCAGTTTCTCTCCCTAATCCGGCAGTATGTTTGTTGAAAACTGTTAACAGATTTACTAGTCAATCATGATCAGTCAGTGCAGCGTTCTTCTTATTTTTTAAAAAAAGTTAGACCATACCGAATCTCATAATTGAAGTATACAGGTATGCGGTGTTGTTTGACCCCCATTTTCACGTCGAATCGATATTTCTGATGTTCGACCATTTTAGCAAAATTTTGGTTTTTAAAAGCGCCCTCAATGTCAATCTTTTGGTTCACTTTTCACGCTGCGATATGCCCTTCTCGAAAAAAAAAAATCCGCAAATCCGCAACAGCGAAAAATATCGTTTCAAAGTTGCTCATTATATATTCAAATACTATTTGAGGTATATTGTAAGACATTCAGTTTCTTGTAACTCGCCTAAATTTTAGTTGATTCTTTAAAATCTAACACAGCTGCAAAGGTCAAAATATCCTGAATGCATCTCCAGTTGTTTTAAAAATGTTCGGATCCGTTTTACGAAGAAATACGCAATTGCCGAAGAAGCGTGAAATGTGCAGAATATCCGATGTTCGGTAAACTTCAACGGTGTTTATATGTCAACACAAATGAGCGAGGCACACATAGCATATAGAATTAAGCCGATCTTATTACCCAAGGCAGTTAGACATTTGTCACATGTCACAACATTAATTTCCAATTTTCTTAGAACAAGTAGAAAAATCCGATATTGGCTGGAGCTTTTTTTATATGGAACTGGTCAAGGTGAATGGCAAACTTGGTCGTCAAACTTGTCAACAGTAATAAATAAGCACCGGCTTACTTCGCTCACCCCACTATGAATTAAATGGCTGTTTATAAGGCCACTTTTGATGGTTTCATGTTTTTTTATAAATAACAATTTTAATATTAAACTTCTATGCTCTTGTATCCAATCGTGGGTATCCATCATACTGAACAACAGGTGTCAGTTTCACTAAGAATATTATTATACTTCATTTTCATTAAAATTACTGATATATATATATATTATCAAAAATGGCCCAAAATATATTTTAAAAGGAAGATATACTAGGTCCAAGTTTCTGTCGAGTGACCAATAGCAATAAACAGAATAAAACATTTCCATATAACAGTCTTGTATAAATCGGCTGGGTTATATGACGACAGGAAATGACATACTTTGACGCACAACCCATAGCAGAAGGTAATCTGTGTGTTTTGGAACTGTATATCAATCTAATAGATATTTGATGAAAGTGACCTATTGAACTTTTGTATTGCTATAACACACCTTCCGACAATAGTTACAAACTATTAGGTCTATTAGTTTCGCAGAGTATATTCATAAGTGTTCCTGTGAATTTACCGGGCCTTTTCCGAGTTCCCTCAAACGTCCCATTTTGCTGTGAGAGGGCGCTGTAAAATGTGGGGTCAAAATTCAATATGGCGGCGACATTTTATTGAATGAATTGCATCGTCATTCCCATCGCAAACTCCTATTTGAAACATTTTGCTCGCACAAACTCTCACAAATTTTGTGAAAAATTAAACATAGCAAATATGACATGCCATGGTTTCACGTCTCCGGGCATTAATATTCATGGGTTAAAGGGAACCGATACTATAAATAAGGGTCAATATGGCCACCGTATTAGTATGCTAATCCGAACCAAGCAGTTAACATCGTGGCGGGAGCTCCGTGAAATATGCCATGTACGATGTTTGGAGATCAAGCTGTGGTTCCAAATACATATCCACGGGGGCATGAATATGTACGCTAGCGATTACACTCGTTAGCTGTGGAATCATAACCCTATGTTGCCGACCGCATTATTTACGTGACTGACTCTGGCCGGCCCATAGGGCTATGGGGCCTTGTGCGACTGAATACCGGTTAAAATCCACATGCCAAATTTGGTCGTCGCGAAAATCACATTTTAAGACCTTCGAAAGTACTCACTATGTTTATTTACTTCCAAACAATGACCAGAACCTATTTGCGCTGTGAAATGATGACGGTGGTCATAAAAAATTGACTTTATTTACCGTACACCGAGTCGCACAAAAATAACAAGACGAAAGACGCCATTTTGTATTCCAGAGTTTATAGCAAATGACGCGAGACCTATCATTTTGTACCACGTGATCGAAATCAGTAGATAAATTGCGTTTATGCAACTAGTTTCTATTATTAAACAAAAATCATACAATTATAAATACTGTATGTGATTGCTTTCTTGGAACAATTAGAATAACGGGAAGAGTGAGTTTTATTCTTCCACCACTGCATCACATGACCGCCAAACGAGATTA